CCCCTCTACTCAGTGGATAATAGCTGTGCTGGCTAGTTTGACGTCAGTATGGCACAAGCTAGACTCATCTTAACGGGGGACTCTTGCCACGGGCATTGCCAGAGGAGCAGCAGGTTGCTATTGAAGTTCAGGTGTCAGCCCAGCAGAAGGGAATCCTCCAATGGGCCAGTCTCATTTAGGCAAGGCCACGGGACTGCAGACCCAGGGATGTCTTTTGCTTCTGCTGTGCACTTACATGTTTGCTGCAGTCCTCTTTCTCTGATATCTAGCATGGTGTGAGTGAACGTGGGGAGATTCCACTGCCTGTAATGTAGTGTATTTATCTCTTGGAAACAGCCCGTTCTATTGGGCATTTTTACCTGTGGATTGTTAAGAAGATGACCCCTCCCTAAGCTGTACTGTCTAATTTGATAACAATAATGATTGCTTATACGGAGTTTTGGTGGCTAAAAATAAATACAAGGATATTATTCATATCTAAGTTCTGTCAGTCTCACCTAAGGAGCTGCATGTATTGTAGCTCAAGTTAATGACTAACAACTGAATCCCAATAGCCCGACTGGTTTAAAATCTTTTAACGTTAATGTTGGGAGATGTGTTCACAGGTCTCAGAGTGCATCAGAGCTGGAACAAAGCTCTGAAAACAACAAGGTTAGACTAAGATGTTGTTGTCAAATGACTTAGAGGTGAAAACCCCAAGAAGACAATCTAAAGGTTTAGAAAGGCACATGGTGGAAAGTGAAACTCTTCAAGGTCAGGGAACAAGAACAAAGCAGCTCTATTATTACTGGCTGACGTTCTCTCCTTGGGAGGTTTGATTGATGACCAAAGGTGATGATTAATTCCTTATACCCATTTATGTCCTCAATCGCCTGATGTAAAAAACTATTAATGAATAGGTATGTACCCTAAAGAATTAACGTAGAGCTGACTGATCCTTTTTCATTAAAAAAAAAAGTAGTTTAGGTTTGTGATTTCTTTAGGATTCCTTACAAGAGTACCTTTCGAGATAAATAATAAAGCAATTGACCCTTTCTCTGTAACTGCAAAATGCAGCCTGCCCATAAAAGACCTGACAAAAATACCTTGATTGCCACGGTTAATCTATAACAAATTGCTTGGGTATAAATGCATGTGGGTTCTTGGGATAATTGTTTTTCATCTGTAATACATAAAATGTTTGATCACATGAGGGAGATGAAAGCATGTTTTCCCTATAATCATTTGCTTGAGAAATGGAATGCAACTGTTTTGACTCCTGGACTGCCTGGGAGATTCTGTTGGGGTAGAAAAGCTGTAAAACAACATGAGGTAGAAGAGAGAATAAAGAAGAGAAAGAATCAAGAAGGAAACCATCAAGAGAGTTTGTGAGTGCTTTTTTCCCTAACCCCCCTCAGATAGAAAAGTTTAGCCTCCCCAACTCTGTGGATTCCCGCCAAAGCCTTGTGCTGCTGGAGGCTGGTTCCCCAGGCAGCGGGAGAATCTCAACTGAGAAAATGCTCCCACCAGATTTGCCGGTGGGCGCAGTTTCTTGATTGATGATTGATGTGTGAGATCCCACCTCACCGTGGGAGGTACCACTCCTGGCCTGGTGTTCTAGGAAAGCAGGCTGAGCAAGCCAGTAAGCATCACTCCTCCATGGCTCCTGCAGCAACTTCTGCCTCCAGGTTCCTGCCCTGTTTGAGTTCCTGCCCTGACTGCCTTCAATATTGGACTGTGGTGTGGGGGCATACACTAAGTAAGCCCTTTCCTCCTTAAGTTGCTTTTGGTCATGGTGTTTTATCATGCCTTAACTCCTTAATTAAAACGGCAGCATATTGCTTTTTCCTGCCATACTGAGAACCTTGAGACATATGACGTATTTATCCCTCTTGCTGGAGAACAGGATTACTGACTTGCTTACCACTATATTTCAAGTACTCAAAGCACATAGTAGGCACGCATAATACGTCTCCAGAGATGAGCACACAATAGGCAGATAATAAGTATTTGTTGAAAGAAGGAGGAATATGAAAACAATACCCAAGATGTATTTAAGCATACATGACCAAGGAATTTGTAGACAATCATCCAAGAAATAGAATACTGAAAGCAATTTTTAAGGATTTCTAGTTTCTGAAGCAGTTTGTAGTGGAGAGCTGGGGGCGAGAGTTGGGAACGGGAGTGGATTCTGGGTCAGACCACACTGGAGCAAGGCACAGAGCGACGCACGAAGTTATCTTTTCTCTGCAACAGTGGAATGACCTGAACTTCTGGAAGACAAGGGCCACTGCGGTCTCTTGTTGTGGAATATTCCTTTACACCGTGCGAATATGTGTCACTGTGCTTGGTTCAATAAAAAGCTAACTGGCCAATAGGTAGACAGGATTTTCAGGGCAGAGAGGATGCTGGGAAAAAGAAGGAGGAGGAGGAGGAGGATAGAGTCATAGGAGATGCCGTGAGACACAGAGTGACAAGGATGGGCACTAGGGAAGTGAGGCAATAAAACCATGAGAAAGTAAATTAATAAAAATGGGTTAATTTAAGTCATAAAATCTAGTTAGAACCAAGCCTAAGCTATCAGCCGAGCTTTTATAATTAATGATAAGTCTCCATGTGGTTATTTGGGAGTGGGCTGATGGAACAGAAAAAAAAAATCCACCTGTAGTCTCTCTTCACTTTCTCATTCTGTTCCCAAGACAAGATTGAACATCAGCAGGCTCAGAGACATAACTTCACTTACCTTCTAGATCCCTGATAATTTTCTTTGCTACTAAGTTCTCAAATCCAGCAGACACAGCAGAGGGGTAGCAAGTACTGCACATGGCTGAGGCTGGTGTGAGATATTCCTTAGCCCGTGCTAATTTCTAACATCAGCAACATATGGTCCTTCATTTGAAAAGGCAAAGCTCTCCTCCAGCCCAGCCTCCCATGGACAGCAAGAGGGAAGCACAGAGAATTGATTCCTCAGGAAATCTGAAGCAGCCTGGACCCTGGGTCCATGGATGGGAAGCCCTGGCCAAGCCCGCTGCCTCCTCTCCAAGCCCAGCTCGGTGCCTGTTTCAAGTGTACTGTGTACACAGTTGGGACTGTCCTTTCTGCTAGATGGACCTGGAAGTAGATACCCTCCACCCTCCAAATGGGCCTTTTCTGTTCTTCTCCATGCTGGGCTTCTAGACCACCTTAGTGACCACGCTCCGCCCAGAACACTGGACTCTTTCCTACTCACTGACAGCGCATGCTAGATTTCTAAGTAACTATGATTTTTGCTTTTTGTTTTGTTTTGACTTTGGTTTTTAAAGACAGGGTCTCTCTTTTTATCCCAGACGTTGCACTCCTGATCCTCTAGCTGTAGCCTCCCGGGTCCTGGAGTGTCATGTATACACCACCACGTCAGGCTCTTTATTTCACTGGATTAGAGTTAATAGGCAGGTCCCAAGGGGCTAAGAGGTGTTACTGTGGCCAGGATGGTCATATGCGCTGCTCGGATCATCCTCAAAACTTGGAGACTAGTTAACAGATGAATGAAGTCACTAGAGAAACAGTTCATGTGAGAAAACATGAACCACCAAAGTCCACTATACTTCTGCACACTAAATTATTAACTTATTCAACCATCAGTCTAAAGGAAATTCATAGACCTTTACCTGCTGAGGATACCCCTTCACAACACTCACACAACTTCACTCTAGGTCACAGAGATCCTGTCCTCTTATATCACGGCCCGAGAGGACATTAAATGACACCAAGAGTCACTGTGCACTGTCCACCTGCATCCTCTGGCAAGCATCCTTTCCCAAGATGTGGAAGTGGCTCCCCCTTCTCACAGGCACAGCTGGGGCATCTTCCTAGAGTCAAGAATCGATGCAGTTGCTGGCCCACTTGGCCCAGAGCCAAGCCACTGACACTGGATGAAGAGGCCTTGGGGAACAAAGGGGACTCTGTGCTCTTGGGCAGTCCGTGAGTGTGTGGAAAGGAGGGTCAGGTGGCCCAAGGGAGTCCATGACCCTGGACGACAGCTGGGAGGGATGGGGCAGCTCTTTGTGGTACCCACTCCGCTGTGAAGGCAAAGATAGCTTACCTGGGGAGCTACATTCAGTTCTAGACACCCAGCTTTCTTTTCCTTCCCTGAGGTTCCTCTCAATCGTGCCCACTGGGGTTTTAAACTAACAGAGAACAATCATACCCTGACACACGGTCCTATGAGGTGGCTGTGGAAAAACAGGCTACCTTCAACCAAAGAATGACCTGCCTCCCTGCCTGAACTCTGGGTCCTTGTGGCTGAGGCTGTCAATATTCTGTTGCTGGGCCCATGGAGGAGAATGTCACAGGGTACCAAGTTAGCAGTTCAATCCCAAGTCAGCTTTGGGGCCGTAACTCCATGATGTCACCTTCAACTCTCCCTTGGAGGTTTAGGTCCAGCATGCTCCATAGCCATTAACACCGAGAATGTTGCCTTGTTCACCCACTGTTGTCAGTATCTTAGCTATAGGAGACACTTAAGCAGAAATATTAGAGCCACCATCACCCCTCTCATAAGACACCATACAACAAATTTAGAAGGAGCTAGCAGGGATTTTATGTGATCTCATACTTGGCCAAAGAAAGTAGTAGATAGGTCCAATGGATGGACCCATGTTGAGTTAAGTTGTATGGGATTAACAAACCTCTACTTCCGGAATGCTTATTTTTAAAAGCACGTGCCACTTCACTCAATTTGTGAGGTGCTGGGGGAAGAAACCCAGGGTTTTGTGCCTGCTAGGGAAGCGTTCTGCTCACTGAGCTATAGTCTCCAGCCGTAAACCTGAAGGCATCTAACAATAGCCTTTCTATGGGCTTTGGTTCATATTAGTTTCACCTAAGTTTCCAAGCCTGATTGAAATTACTAACCCATGAAACCCAGCTTCCCCAAAGCCAACATGAAAGAGACATGACAGAGCCGCTGACTCCACCACTGTCCTCCCCAGACACCCCTGGTCGCACAAGAGATTTGGCACTCATAGGAATGGGCTGACACCTACCAGCAGTCCCCAGGCTCAGCAGCACAGCCACCCAGAGGACCCAGAAGAAGACAAGAGTAGCAAACGTCCACAGTGGCTGGAACAGCAGGGACAGACAACTGCTGATGGCTTGATTTGTGATGCGGAGAAGCTCGACTGTCGACTTCATTCTCTTTCTGAGGGTGAAAATCAAGACGAGGAGAACCACCTGTGGAGGAAGGGGTCAGAGTGAACCACTGCAGGGCAGAGAGGTATCCATTACTTCTGTTATAACTGGATAGATAAAGTCCCAATCACTAACTGAGCCCCTGCTCTGCACTGGCCCCTGTGTGAGATCCTGAGGTCGCAATAGTGAACAAGGCCTAAACCCTTCCTAAAGGAGACAGTCTGAGTTCGAAGGTGAGAATAGGCTCTTCAAAGGTCAGGTGGAAAATCTGTGTTTCCCTCTTCCATGCCACGCACCCAGAGATGGGGTGCAAATAAGCCAGAGAATATGAATGTGACATAAAAGGAGCGTGCTTCAAAGCTACTTGCTATGCCATCTTGACCAGGTCTCCCTTCTCTAGACAGAAATAGTTGTAAGTCTCCCAGATTAAGGAAACCACCGCCCTTACCCCTGCATCATTCAACCTTCTGTACTATTCTCTTCCTGGTCAAGCTTCTTGGTTTGTCTTTGTCATTGCCTGTCTCCCACCTCTAACCCCTATCTTTTTATCCACCACAAGTTCCTTGACCTCGACACTCTCCTTAAACCGTTTTCCCTTAGGTCACATCCTACGACCTCTGGAGTAGTAAGTCTTCTGGAATATCCGAGTTGTTTTTGGCTGGAATTCAGTAACCTGGATTCAGAGCTGATGGCGGTTACTCAATGAGCTTTTGGAAGGGCTTGTCTTACCGTCACGACTGTCGTAATGATGGCAAAGGCCAGCATGCACTTCATATTCTCCCTTTCTGTGTCCAGTTCTGTGCTGAGGTCATTGGTGTAGTCGTAATACAGCCACCATAAGACGCCGCAGACAACTGGAAAATAAGGTGACCGCAGGCTTGGCATGTGTACTGAGGTTACCCACTTCTCTACACACACACACACACACACACACACACACACACACACACACACAGAGAGAGAGAGAGAGAGAGAGAGAGAGAGAGAGAGAGAGAGAGAGAGATGTCCACACCAAGTTCAGCCATTTCTGACCCAGTGATCCTGTCCACACAGTAGGTCCTAAGTCCCCAGATGCTTTGGAACCCATCACTTCTCTCTGGGTGATCCGGGCAAAGCCAGGTTAGCCTGCAGAGAACCTATTAATTCCAGGTAGCTACTGGCCTTTAGCAGACACAGGGACCTAGTCTGCAGGATGAGTCTGAGCATAATCAGGAAGGCGTGGTACCAAACAGAACGGTGCGAGGAAGAGCATGAGAGTCTAAAGTCTATAGTATTCACATAAGGTCTGCTGGTGAAAGCTCCTGGATGTGGGGGACTGGATGTTGGCTCCTTACCCACAAAGGTGTGCCATTTACACAGCCCATGGAAATCATGTTATCAGAGATACACTGACACTATAAACACTCTGCTTCTAGATAAAAGCCTGACCTTAAATCATCACGATTGTAACACCAGGGAGGTCCGAGTTGTCTACTGATCATAAATGGGGAGATGGATGCTATAGCCTTCTCTAGTCACAGTGACCAGAACTTGCTGTGATTTAGAACTGAAATGCCCCCCTGCTGCCCCAAAGCTCATGTGTTGAAGGCTAGACCCCCGGCTGGATCTAGCCTTGGTGTTACCCGGAGCCAGAAGAAATGTTAGGTAGGATCTATTTGAAGGAAGTGGGTTATTTGAGACGCGTTCTTGGGAGACATAGGGAGACCCTAACTCTATGACTTAATGACCACGCGGTAATACCCAGCTCTAGGCTGTCACACATGTCCACCAGGAGAATATTGCTATAGGCTTGGAACAAGTGAACCCAGTGGCTGTGGATTGAAATCTCCAAAACTGTGAGCCCAAGCCAATCTCTCTTTAAGTGATTTGCTCAGGTGTCTCGTCAGAGTTGGAAAGGCTGACACAGGAATCCAGAGCCCTGTGTGGCTGCCTGAGAGCAGAATGAAATATTCAAAGGGATAAAACACTGCTGTCATATTGGTCATTCAAAATAAAAATGCCCTATATTGGTGGGAAAATAGGGCCTCTGCGTTCTTCCTCAAAACTCCTGGAGACAGTTACAACCCATTGTAAGGAAAAGAGGGGTCAACAGGTGTCCCCTGGTCTCTGTTCCTTCTCAGCCTTGCTCTTCAGACTGACCAGAGCTTTTGTGTGATACCCATGGGTTCTCATGGGCACACAGAGTAAGTGTAGTACAGAATAAATCCTTCAAAATGAAAGAAACAAAAGATTGAGACAGCGTCTCTCTATGTAGCCCTGGACGCCATGGAACTTCCTATGTGGATCAGGCTGGCCTCAAACTTGGAGATATTCATTCACCTGCCACTGCCTCCCAAGTGGTGGAACTAATGGTGTGCACCAACATGACCAGCTGGAATCTTCCTTACAATATAAATAAATACTAGGAAAAATATATTTTTGTTTTGCTGTTTGTTTATTTGCAGTGCAGGGGATTGAATATAAGACCATGTGCAAGACTCAAGCACTGAGCTCTGACCTCATCCCAGTATTATGGGCTCCAGGGTCACTCAACTGTTAGGCTTGTCTCAAAACTACACAATAGGTAGAATCAAGAATAGACTGGGCATTAACACTCCTTGGGAGGCAGAAGCAACTCCCATTGTCCTCCCTGGGCCTGTTTTTTCTCATATTAAAATGATGGGACTAGACTGTATCCCCATCTAAGACTCTTGTTAGTTAAAAACCTTAACAAAACAAACAAAAAACCCCCAAACCTTAAATCCTATACTTACTGGAAAGATGTTCCGTTTACTCAGGAGTCGAAATACTTACACAGCAATCCCAAAATAACCAATGAAATGATAATATGGACCAGAAGCGTGGAGATGAATCGGAAAGTGAGCATCATGGCCAGAGACAAGGCTGGAAAGGGAAACATAGCACATGAGGCTGGGGGCAGCAAAGCGGCAGGGGAGGGAGGGGGTGGGAAGAGCGCTAAACATAAAACTGTGATGACGGAGCCCAGAAAAGTGAGAACTGACAGGCTTACCCAATAACCAAGTAGCTTGGGAAACCTACCAAATACAAATATGGCAAGCTAAGCTCAGGGTCTCCTCCTAGGCCTGCGACACAGTCAGCCTTGGTAAGTAGGGTCTGAAAACGCTTTCTTCTCAAGTTTAAATAAAGATAAATAAGTAATGAATAAATAAATAAATGTGTTGTTCCACAATACCTGAGCACATATTTTTTTCTTACAAATCCAAATTAACTATTTAAAATTTTACCGTACGTCAGTCTTTTGTCTTTTACGCTGGGCTATGTAAAGTTCTAACTTTGTTTTTCCTTTTATTTGGGTTTTTCGAAATAAGAGTTTCTTTGTGTAGCCCTGGCTATCCCAGAACTCACTCTATAGACCAGGCTGGCCTTGAACTCACAGAGATCCACCTGTCTCTGCCTTCTAGGAGCCGGGGTTAAAGGCTTGCAGCACCCCTGCCCAGCTACTAAGTCACTTTTCTAAACAGGCAGAAATACACTGATGACTGACCAAGGTGGGAGGCCTGCTCCCCGCAAGGGTGGAGGTAGCGACCTACGACATTTGTCTGATACAGTGTGGCTTAACCTCTTCAGACAGGAAATTGGCTCTTAGCCTCAGCAAGGTGAAACACAGCATGGAAGCCACAGGGTCCAGTGTGGGCAGCTGCTTCCCCAAACAAACAAGGGAGCAGACCTTTGCTCAAAGCTGGTGGGGCTCCATCAGCGCTAGGCACCCGGGACATTGCATCTGACTCTATCACGGACACACACTCCTTCCTTTCCCCAGCCAGAGGACTTTGATCTCCTAGACTGACAAGTGGAAGGTACACTGGCCAACAGAACTGGTGTTTGGTGCCACTGATGCTTGTACTTTACATGGCCAATGCAGAAAGTGGCCATGTTGTATTTGCCTATCTCCTATGCAGCTAACAAAAGGCAGGAGCCAATATATTAACTCAGTCCTAGGCAGGGCAGCTTCCTAGCTGGCAGCCAACTACTCTTCCTTCCTACTGCCCCCATCCACACTTGAACCTCCGAACAAATATAAGCTCAAGATTTAAGTCGAAGACGCTGGTTCTCACTACACAATGTACTGGAGTGCTAGAAAATTCGGCATTCCGTATACAGTTACTAAATAAGATGAACGGAGAATTACCAAATGTGAAGACACACAGGCCGAGGATGGTGTCTCTTCCCGCCATTATTCCACTTAGAATTCGATGGAGAGCGTCAGCATCGTTTATCAAGACTGATGCATATAAGGAATAGCACTCGGGGGTCTGAGGGATGCACCGGTTAAACAGGGGGAAGGGCTTGCTGGAAACAAAAGGTAGAACCAATGGTAAAAAGATCAATTATTCGTCTGTAAAAATATTTAGATTCAAAATTTCCACGTCCCCAAACCAGAAGCTCAGCATTTATAAAAATGGTTTTACGACTAACGAGATGGACCAGCAGGTAAAGGCACCTGCTTCTGAAGCCTGAAGACCTGAGTTCAATCAGGATGCTGTCCCAGACCTCCACATACGTGTGATAGCATCTGCCCCTGACCCAATTATGCACCCAGTTATGCATGTTTATCTAAGGCAGCCACATGGAAGGCAGTGGGGACCTCAGCAGAATGAGGCTGCAAGCTGCCCCACTCAGCACTGAAGAGGACCTCCCAAATGACCAGCCAGAGTGGGGGACACAGGACACTCAGTACCTAGAAGTAACAAGAGAAGACTCCTGACCTGCCTGTGTTTAATTTGAGAGCAAGGGGTGGAGAGACGGACCAGTTTCACTGAATAAATTTAAAGAAATGGAGGGGGGGTACCCAAGTTCTTTCTGGCTATGTCTTATGTTCTGTTTGTATGATGTAATGGTTATGAAATGACATACACAGGAGTATAGGTTTGTGCATTATCTAACTGAAAACACATAAATCACATCACATTTCCCCCTTTTAAACAAGAGGCAGTACACTACATCCTGAGCTATTGGTTGTTTATTTAATAAGGTTAGTAATGTACCTTACAGCTCTGCACATATCAGAATGAGGGATTTCCTATTTCTTTTTTAGAATTTCTTTGGTTTTATTTATGTGTATGTGTGCAGGTGAGTACAGGTGCCTGGGGAAGCCAGACATCAGAGTCCCTGGAACTGGAGTTATTATAATCAGTTGTGTGCCACTTAATGTGGGTCCTGGGGACTGAACTCAGGTCCTTTGCAAGAGCAATATACATTTTTAACCTCTGAGTCATCTCTTCAGCCCCTGGGATCTTCTGTGTTTATTGTTGTAAAATATGTATGTTACCGCATAATGCTCAGATTTTAAACATGCAATCAGACTTTTGGCAAATACATACATTCACATAACACCTGCCCCTTTCAAGATATGATAGGAACACTGCCCCCAACACACTAACCTGCCACCCTGTCTCATTATCTCATTATGTAACCAATGCTGGCCTTAAACATGGAATATTTGTGCCTGCATCTTCCAGGGCCTGGGATGACAGGCATGAACTACCAGGGATTGATTAGGACATGGAACATTTTTATAGCTGCAGTAAGTCCCCTTATTCTCCTGCAGATCTGACTGGTCATTTTCGGTTGTTTATATTGGGAGGCTGTTGTCAAACTCACTATGCAGGCAAGGGTGATTTTGAGCTCCTGATTCTTCTGCTGGGTTCGTCACACACATCCTGCTGTGTTCATACAGTGCTGGGGATTTGAACCCAGGGCTTTATGCTTGCTAAGCAAGTACTCTACCAACTAAGCTGCATTCTTAGCTCAAACGATCTGATTTCTACAGCTACTACAAGGGTTTGATCCTGGAACCATGGGACATGCACCTTTGTGTCCCACTCCTTCCACTCTGGTGTTGTACAGGTCAACATATTAACCCTTTGTGTCTAGCACTACACACTCAATGGACATAAAACTTGCCCTTCTGTCTTCCTGATGATTGCCATTTGAGCTGTTTCTAAATGCCAAACATAAGGATGATATAAACATTTACATGCATATCTTATACTTTTGGTATGTATAATTTTCATTCTCTTGGGTAATGACTTAAATGTGGAATTTTAGTTATGGCTTATACAGTATGTATATGCTTATATATAAGAAGCTAACTTATTTTTCCTGGAGACTGGCCTCACCATTCACACTCTTCCTGAACACACACATATGTGTATATATGTTTATGTGTGTATGTGAGTAGATATATATTATGAATGTTCTGATTTCATGTCCTCAGCAGTTCTTAATTTTGCTTTCCAAATGAGTAACTCTTCTAGTAAGGGTGTTGTCCCATTAGAGAAAATGTCTGCTTGTGTCTTTTTCGTGATTCTACTGAGCTGTTTGTCCTTTTGTTACTACTTGAAAGTGGGGATCAGCTAAATGTGGCTGCCTTTTTTGTTTTAATCCCTAAAGTTGAAACACATCTCAGTCCATTTGTTCATGTATTTAAAAATGTTTATTCTCTAAAAACTTTAGTGTGTGTGTGTGTGTGTGTGTGTGTGTGTGTGTGTGTGTGTGTGTGTATACATGCATGGGATGTGTAGAGGCTAGGGGACAGCCTTAGGCTCTGATCCCTGCCTTCCCCCTTGTCTTAAACATGGTCTCTTAGATGTTTTCTGTTTTATTCACCAAGTTATCTGATCAAAACCTACTGGGGATTCTCCTGTCTCTACCTCCACCTCCTCAGAGAAGCACTAGAGTCACAGATGGATGCTCTACTGCATCCAAATGTGCATAGATTCTTAAGATTCCAACTCATCTTCATGCTTGTGCAGCAAGCATTTTATCCACCGAGTCCTCCCCTCAGCCCTGTCATTTCCTATGACTGCATCTGCACTCATCCAGAACACTAAACACATATACACCACTCAAGGGAAGAATGTTTTATTCTGACTCAAGATCTCGGGGGGTTCAGTACATGTTTTCTTGGCCCCATGTATTTGTGGTGGAGGATATTCTTCACCTTGTGATGGACAAGAATCAGCGAGGAGAGAAGAGGATGCAGCAAGCAGGAGGCAGGAGGGGAGCAGAGGTAAGAGACCCTGTAAGATGCCACGTCTGGTTGACCCACTTCCTCTGGCTAGGTCCCACCTGCTGAAGCTCCCATAACCTCCCAAACAGCCCTGTTGCCTGAGGGCAAGTGCATCACACATGAGCCCATGGAAGGCATTTCACAATATGACTCCATAAACTATAGCACCGATAACTTTATCTTCTCTAGGTTTTTAGAATAATCTTATCAGTTTCTATAAAACTTGTATTGGAATGTGCTGGACATATAAAACAATGTTAAGAGAGATGACATTCTAACGCTATTTATTGTGTGAACAGAGCGTGTTTAACCGTGTACACAGGCTCTTTCATTTCTCCAAGCAAGATCTTAAAATGTTCAGCGAAGGTCAAGGATTTGTCTGTCAAGTTTATGTCTAAGCTTCTTTCTTTTTAAAAGTTCTGGTAAAGATGGACTTTGACAACTGTTGAACTGTTTGCTATTAGAATCCAAAAGACTTTTTTTTTTTTAAAAAAAAAAAAATTGAGACAGGGTCTCTGTGTGTAGACCTTACTGTTCTGGAACTTCCTATGCCATAACGATAAATGAATGAACTGAAAGAGAGGAATAAAGTCTTTCATGATGAATTGTATGATTAATATAGAGCACCTTTTTATTTGTTTTTGCTTTTTTCATTGTATCAAAAATGGCACTGATGTCTCTCTCCTATGGTTTCATATATTTCTTGGTAAATTGATTTCTAGGCATTTTGGTGTCTTTGGATGTGATTGTTGTTCCTGCTGTAGTAAAGAAGCATTTTTCTTTCTTTCTTTTTTTTAAATCACAAATGTGCAGATTTCGGTATACCAGCTGATCTCACGTCACCTACAGGAGTTTCTTTATTGTACGCAGGGACTTTCCAGTTCGCTATCCGAGCTTCCCGGGTCTGTAATCACACCCTCTGCAGACCGGCAATTATCTCCTGATTTCCGATTTCTAAACCTCTAATTTCTTTTGCTTTTCTGACCCTGAATAGTTTCACAACGCCAACAAATTGGAAGTGTTTTAAAAGCAAATATATTCTGAAGTTTCATGGGGGTTTCAAAAACCAAAGAACAAACACAGACTTAATGCTATTTTATTCTTCTGATCTAAACATTATTCTTCATCAGACCTTAATTTTATACATGAAGCTTTGCTAACGTGTGTGTGAGAGTATGTGTGTGTGTGACTATGTGAGTGTGTGTGTGCGTGAATGTGTGTGTGAGTATGTGTGTGTGAGAGTGTGTATGTGATTCCCTAATCCTGTGCTGACAAAGAATGACAGGAAAGCTTCATTTTGCCCTGAAAGAGACACAGAGAAACGTGTACAGTTTGAATCTCTTATGAGTGACCTACTTAGTCTCACACTGAGCTAGGAAGGGAAAATATGCCATATCATATGTCCTGAGGTCACCACCTCTTCTACCTCTGAAGCCAGCCTCAGTCTTTCCACCCTCAAGTGCAGACCTTGCCAATACTAACTCCCCAAGCGCAGACCGGCTGCCTAGCCGTCCACTGAAAACGCCCATCACTGACTTGGCTGGAGATGCATTAGCTCACAGCCTGAGGTTTCTTCCACACGGCTGCCTTTCATCGCCACTAGCGAAACCACTCCAACTTGCAGGAAGTAGTCTGGAGGGCCGCCCAGCTAGATGTATGGACATCTGCATGCGGATTTCACCCAAGCGAACAATACAGTGTCAAGCAGGAGGCCAGAAAATAATTGAGTGGGAGGCGAGAGTGTGGGGGAGAGAACTTCAAACCTTCTCAATTTCAAATGCACAGGAGACTCAAAATAAAGTAGTATGTCAAGCACCAAAGGGAAAAAGGTTGTTCTTCTTCTGCTTGTTTTCTTCCATGGTATCTTTTCCTTGCCTGTCAAAGCTCATGCACAGGTGCCTATGCCTTCTTGAAATTCAGCCACTGCTTTAAAAGGGTGTGCTACACCTTACACGCTCGACACAAGCAGGAGCAACAATTGATGTAGTCAGAAGAAGTGTTTCGAGAATGGTCTTTGGCTCTATAGCCACACTTCTCATGTTTTGCAGCTTTTAAGGCTTGGCACAGCTCTTCCACGATAAATATGATAATTTCCACCTTAAACAAACGCTTGCTTGTGCAGGAAAAGGAAACAGTGCCCTCAAGCCTATTTCTGTCTCCTTCGCTTTGTCCAAAAAAAGGCTAATCAATCAGTACTTCTATCTGCACTCAGAAAGTTGGTACTGGCAAGGTCTGCACTTGAGGGTGGAAAGGCTGGGGCTGGCTTCAGAGGCAGAAGAGGTGGTGACACCAGGACATGGGATGTGGCATATTTTCCCTTCCTAGCTTTCTGTGAGCCTAAGGAAGCATTCACAGGTTGTCCAGTCTAGTCTTGACTGCATATTCTGAGTTATGGAACCCAATATGAATGCTGCTTGGTTTCGAATGCCTGTTTTTCTCCCTGCTCATTGTATGGGCTCAACCTTTCTCTGGTCAGTCTTCTCATCTATAAAATAATATCTACAGCACAGACACTCTGTGAGGCCCCGGTGGGCTAGTACTTCTCAGGAGCTTAGAAAAAGGAACCAAGCAGGAGGGAGAGCTCCACAATTGTTTGGTAGCATCATGCAAGTTTCCCATGGAGTCATGGCTGCCGTCTCAGCTAAAAAAAGAGGATGGCAGATTGGACTCTGTTTAAATGATAGCCTTAACAAATTTCATTCTCAGGAAAAAGCGGCTTAGTCTGTAGGAAAGAGCTTGCCTTATAAGTAAGAGGGCTGGGTTCCCCGATATTTGTGCAAAAATGCTGGGTGTTTTGGTACACACTTGTAATCCCAGTATGAGAAAGACGGAGACAGTGCCTAGCTGGTGAGCTCCAGGCCAACAAGCCCCTGTCTCTAAGAGGTGGATGGTGTTTCAGAGTATGACCCCTGAGGGTGTGCTCTGGCCTCCCCATGCTCACATGCACATGCATGCATGCACACACACACACGCACACACACACACACACACTTCACGCACGCATGCAAAATACATCACACATGATGCACACACACACACTTCATGCACACATGCACACACATGTCATGCATGATGCGCACACGCACACACACACACACACATACACACTTCTTCCGATTCTTTATGCAGGTATACTCACATTGCTCCTAACACCAATATCTTTTTGTCCAAGCATTACATAATTTTAGTTCAGCCCACTAAAATGTTCTAGTTGTTTTTTTCTGGTTCAGCTACGTTTTATCAAGATAAGCAACAATAACCATAATAAAAAAAATAAGATACCGTGGGAAAGTGGATTACACAAGCTCCTCTGCAAAATTTAGGAAAGAATACTCCAATGGTGGACTCCATTCTAACCCCTATGCATTCCATCCCGCTTGTCGCCTTTAGGACTTGCAAGGTTGGTGTTTTTCAAATTGTTTTCACAACCTGTTAGAGGATTTGCTGATTGTCTTTTCTCCCAAGACAGGCTTTCTCTGTGTAACCCTGCCTGTCCTGAAACTTGCTCTGTAGACCAGGCTGGCCTTGAATTCAGAGATCTAGATCTATTTGCCTCTGCCTCCCAAATGCTGGGATTAAAAATATCTGCCACCACGACCCGGCAGTGATTATTCTTAATACAATATTTTTATTAATTCTGTGAGGATTTCATACAATGTATTTTGGTCTTATTCACCTCAACTCCTCCCCCAATCCCAGATTCATTCCCCACCTCGATACTTAAGTTTGTATTTCTTTTTTTTAAATCCGTTGAGCACAATTTATACTGACTACATATTTCTAGAGGAGGGACCACCTCTGAAGTGTGTACTCTATCTGCCGGGAGCCACACCCTTAAAGCAAACCGCCTCTCCCCCCTCCAGAAACTGTCAGCTGTCAATCCCTCCCCAGCTAGGAGTGGGAGCTTTGGAGTCCCTCGCCTCTGCGTGCTGGAATGTTTACTGGCTGTCCATACAAATATACGCATTTTAAAAACCTTCTCTGGAATAGAAACAATCCCACGACTCATATGCAATAAGAGGAGGTCTTTCTGTGACCTTTCTATTTGTTTTACACACCAACATATGAAGGTATCTGTGTGTGCCAGGCTGTGACAGAGTATACTTGATTTTGTGGGCCCCAAGCCAAAGTTGCATCAGCACTGTATGAGTTGGTCAAGGCAATGTCTTGTTTTACTTAAATTGTTGTTCCTCAGGGACTTTTTTCAGGAGTACTTATTCACTGTCAACACATTTATGTTTTCCAAAAGAATGGCAGTGCAAACTCAACAAGCTTTCTCAAGCACACCAGAGCACCCTGCCCACGGCCTCAGCCTTTCCCAGGGGCAGATGGGAGCCACTCTCACCAGCCCTGCTTCCTTACGGTTCAGTAAGTACTGCAGCATTCTGGGGGTGAGTAAGACCCTGGCGAGCAAGAGGAGCCCCCCAGGATGTACAGAAGGACCCGTGCTTATGTGTTCACTGAAAGACAAGCATGGAGCCTGCTTGACCTTCTCCTTCCAGGACTATTTCTTGCTTTTAAAAATACATAATCAGCTCTTTAAACCTTAAAATTCTGATAAATTTAACCTGAACACACTGAATTTTCTGAGTGTTTTGCCTGCATGTATGCATGCATGCATGTATGTGTGTGTGTACACCACATGTGTGCCTGGTGTCAGTCCAGGCCAGAAGGGCATGTTGGATATCCTGGGACTGGAATTACAGAGAGACACCATGTGAATTCTGGGAATAGAATCCAGGTTCTCTGCAAGAGGAACAAGTGCCCTTAACCTCTGAGCCATTTCACCAAACCCCCAGGGCTATTTCTTATGGCATAGTCTTGAACAATAAAGACTAACAATTTTCGTTATAACGAAAAAGTGAATGTTGATGGTTCTCCTTAATGATAACAAAGAACTGGGAAAGGAAAGATGCGCACTAGCCCCTTCACAAAAACCATTCGTTTGGTAATAATGCATAATATCATTTATATTATAATATGAACACATATATTATAACAATGTACACATTTGTTTTCGCGGTCTCTAAAGAATTATTACATTTTATCGTGTGTAATATGTATGCCCATGCACCATGGTATGTTTATATATAGAGAGAGGTTGGGGGATGATTTTCAGGAGTGGGGTCTCTCCTCACATCATGCAGGTCCTGGGCATGAGACTCAGGTCACCAGGCTTTGGGACAAGTGCCTTCAGGTGAGCCACCTCTCCAGTCCAGCACTAGTGTGTGAAGACCACATGTACTCTTATTGTCTGCTGATTTCCCCCCTTTTTAGCCATTATCTATTATGTATATATATTACATAGTCTTTCTTTGTCTGTTCCTGATTATGAGCCACACCTTGCATCTCCCTTATATTTTTAATAGTGTTTAGAGGAGGAACAGACATTACCAAATCCTAAATGCCTTTTGTACATAAGCCCTTACCTTGGAGGAACAGGGAGCCTGGGACACAGTGTATCTGCGTTTGGACTCTGAGTATAGTTGAAGGAGTTCAAGCTATAGACACACAGGAAAGACCCTGAAATCAGAACACACATACACTAGGCTATTGCTTTGCATCCATCTTCCTTGGGAAGCCAGAAAAGAAGCCATGGCCACTTTACCAAATCAGGAAGGAATTGAAACGCACTACCCAGACTGGGAAAACAGGTGGCCAGCACTCGGAAAGAACAGGTGTGCTATCTGAGGTGGTCTCGGGGGTCTCTTTCCCTCCAAACCCCAAATTCAATACTCTAAATCATAGGTTTGGCATTGAAATGATTCGAAGGTTATTTGAAGATGATTTATTGGAGGAGGTTGAGATTTTTAAGCCAGCTTTGAAAAATTTTTTTAAGATCTCACAGTCCATTTTTCAGGCAGATAAAATTCACAATCAAGTTGCCTCAGTTTTGTTTGTTTGCTTTTTTGCTTCCTTTTAAAATTAATGTTAACTATGAACTGTCTGGCCCAAGTGGTTTTAGTTCAAGTTCTCACTCCTTCTGTCAGTGAAAGCCCTCAACGACTCTGACAGCTTCATCAAAAAACTTCCACGTGGGTGATTTGAACAAGAACCTCAGGGCCCTGTGTCTACTGCCCACTTCTAAGTCTCTAAGGTTGACTTTATACTGCCATGGGCAGTGACCACACCCAGGGGGTTCAAATAAGTGCAGAAAGCCTCAGGAGACATTGAACGAGTTCCTGAAGAAATACTCCTAGTCCTTTCCACATGAGAGGCGCCTGAGAGGGGCCTAATTCCTACCTTTTCAGAGAAAGTAGCTTCAGGGTAAACTGAGGTAAACACTATCTATCTGGGACCCTACAGGTTGCTTAAGGGTCAATTACACTTTCTATCTGGGACCCTACAGGACCCTACAGCTACACAGGGTGATAGAGTGGGCCCTCAGCACCTACCATTGATGTCGGCAAAGAGCTGGAGCTCTTCCAGGGTGTCCAGCTGCTTCTCAGGACAGCTGGACACACAGAGGGCTGTGGGACCAAGCCACCGGTCTTTGACTTCCAGGTCACAGGCATTCATGAAGAACACGTGTCTACAGATGGAGGAAACATAGCCTGTCTCAGACCATGGAGACCCATCGGTTTAACGGTGGGCTTTGAAAACGAAGCCTGTACCATCGCAAGGGGGAACAGCCAAGGCAAACTTTTGTAGCCAAATGCTCCCGAATAACTGAATATTATCACACCAACTGGAGGCATCTTGTGAACCATACCCAAGCGGGACAAACCTCTCCTTCTCTAGGCTCTGCATCTGAGAAGCGGGGAGATAGCAAGAGTCACCTGAGATGTCACTGAGGAAGAGAAGGGAGGCCAAACTGCTCACGGTGTGTTAGAAAAGGACACAAAAGCGACTTAACGGAAACCACTCTAAAGTGGTCAAATGTTTCAGAGAAGAGCGGAGCTCAGGGAAGTGACGGGTGGGAAGGAAGGAGCTGAGGCTGGGGAATTAAAGGGGCACAAGGGCCAGGAGAGCCAGGGGACCTTCAGCTTCTGGGCCCAGAGCTGGCTGTGGCCATCAGTGGGTCATGTGCAGTCAGTGGTAGCTTGCTGCCCCCGCCCTGCAAACCAAGGCTGATATAGGTGGCTAAAGTCTCAGGAACGCAGGGGAAGAGCTCCTGGGGTCTGACTGGGAGGGGAGCGCCTAGCAAAGTGTTCTTGAAGTCACTCTCCCTCCACTGACTGTGGGTGAAAGGAAGATCGTACCAGAGAAACAGTGGGGCAGATTTCATGCGTGAACAACACCCAAAGATTTTATTTTGTTTAAAAATCTAAAATTGTGTTAAACTATCCATCCAGTTTGCCTCCTTGATCATTTCCAACACACAGTTGGGGGCACGAAGCATACAGATGGGTCTGTGCAACCGTTCCCGTCACCAGCTCGTGGAAACTGTTCCGAGAGACAAGCTCCTCATTCCCCCTCCTTTCCCAACCCAGGAAATCACCGGTTCACCTGCCCTCCTCCACCCCCAAGCAGAATGCAAAATGCATAGCTGCCTGTCTGCTGCTGAGCCCTTGGCGTGGGCACAGGGAACATCTGCTTTAGTTCATGCAGTCTCAGGGGAGCATTAACACAGCCTCGAAAGACAGGCATCATTACCAATGTAAAAAGATTGGCCTCAGAGAGGCTGAGGACTCTGCCCCAGGTCTCAGAGCCGAGAAATAGTGGAGGCTGGAAGCGAACCCAGAACTACGACTGCGTGCTCCCTCACTTGCACACGCCTCCTCCTTTCCAAATAGGGAAAGTTGCCCACGCTCTTAAACGAATACGAAGTTTTGGAACACGGCCCCTATCTAGGTAGGAGACCTAACTAACTCACAAGACTTACTTTTTGAGAGTCATGTCCTGCCCTGAGAGGGGGGCCCCTTCCACTGGGGAGTTCCTCTTGCCACAGACATTGCCGAAGCTGTCATAGCCGAAGAGGAGTCTTCCTGCTGCTCCAGCCACCACCGAGTAGCCCATGATGAACACCTGGCGAAACCCAGGGGCACACGATGACTGCTTGGCCACAGGGAGGAAGCCACAGCCCCTCACATCCCTGCAGATGCTGGTGTGAAACCCAAGCAGACAAAAGAGGAGCCATTATAGCTCCTCAGCCCTTACTGCCCTTAGCAGCGATTCCATCCACCAAGGTAAGGTCCAGCATGGCGAACACTAGTGTAGCCGGTGAGCAGGGAGGGCACCCTGAAGCACACAGACTTCGCTCCCTTTGGCTCTTTGTTCTCTCGCCTCCTCTTTGGCTTCTTCAAGAGGTCATCACCCTGTGATTTTTTTTTTTCAACCAAACTTGACTGGGGTAGTTTCCATTTTATCCCTTCAGCCTGTCTGGGTTGTGGAAGTGCATCGAGATTGTGCTAATATTTTCCCGTGTGTCTATGTGCGGGCATGGGTATGTTTGCATGTGTGGGCGTCCATGCATGGATGCATGCCTATGTGTGGAAGTCCGAGGACAACTTTGGCTGTTGCTCTGCAAACGGCGTCCTCTTTGGTCTTTTGAGACACAATTTCGCTGGCCTGAAACTCACCAAGTAGGTTAGGCAGGCTAGCCAGTGAGCCCTAAGCGTCTGTCTTCATCTGATCAAATTCAGGGCCCCTAACTTGCAATGCCAATACTTACCGCCTGAGCTATCAGGCATTCTGCCTTTCCTTAAAAATGTTTTTTTTATCTTACTTTTTAAAAAGTTTTAGAGAACTCTGTCAAGGCTCTACAGTCAACACACGTCAACTCACAAGGCTGAAGGCGTCTTTGGGTTATTTGCTTAAAATTCACCGAGTAAAGAACTTGGGAGAAAAAAAAAAAGGAATCTCAGGATTCTGTTTGGCAAGGGCATCTTGCAATCAACAGGTGTTTTTTTGTTATTGTTTATTGTTATTGTTGTCATTGTTACTGTTATTCTATAAATCCACTTTTATAGGAAACGTGGAATATCTGAAACTTTAGCCCAAACCACGGCAGCATCCTTACGCGCCTGTTTGTCCGCTGCCAAGGCTTCTTCTCACAATACGAACTCAGAGCGGGGGTAAGTTTCCTGATCTACTACATATAGAAAGCCACCGAAAAGTTCGTGATACTCGCACGCTATGGAGGGCCAGAGGCTGTGGGGAGCTGTCCACTAACATAAGGGATGGCCACAAGTTCCAAAGTGACACTGTCTTAAAGCCACCATACTTCGGAGGCCCTGCATGCATTGTCAGCTTTGAAATAAAATAATAACAGGTGAACAGGTGGTGCACGCCTGAAACACCAGCTCTCAGGAGGCAGGATGGAGGGTGGAGAATTCAAGGCCAGCAGCCTTGGTGACAGAATGAGTTCAAGGCCAACCCCAGGCTACGTGAGACCCTGTCTCAAAACAACAACAACAAACAATAGTATTAAATATTCCTCAAGTGCTCAGCGATGCCAGGACTGTTACCAGAGGACACAAAGATAACACAACCTGGTGCCTACCCTCAAAATTCAGCCCCCAGGATTGTTATTACTGATGGCACTGCCCTTGACGAGGGTTGGGCAAAGAGGCTTAGGGGAATAACTTTGCAGCCCCCAAAGGAACAGGACTTACCAACTGGACCCCAGGTGAGGGAGGAGACCCTTGTCCCTTCTTACTTCTCAAGTTCCTCCTCAGTTTACCTAGTGAGGTGTTCGGGATGTACAGGTCACCTCTGCTAAGAGTTAGGGTCACCCGGAAGTACATGGAAGTGTGGTTCGGTGTGCCCAAATGGCCTTGGCATGTCCATCTTCTGTCCACTCCCCTTCACCACTCCCGTGGCCTGACTTTCTTTGCTAAGGTAAGGCTGGCGAGCTCCCGGCCTCAGAGCCCAGACTCCAGTATCAGCAGTGTAGGAAGTGTGTGTGTTAGTGTGCTGTGGCTTCAAATGAAGTCACTCTAAGCTGGGTCTGGGAAGTGGGAGTCTCGAAAGGGAACTAGGAAAGGGCGATGTGGGAGAGGACGCTGGACGGTAAGTAGAGGCCAGGCTTGGTCAGAGCTTCCGGCTTGTTTTCTGGTTGTGGACGTAAGACAAGCATAAGCACAGACAGGTGCTCTTACTACCTGAGGGGACCAGCGCTGCTGGCAAGTCTGGCAACCCCTCCCCCCCGCTCCCCTTCTTTGACCAGCCCGGCTGAGGGCAATGACATCAATAATGATTCTGTCCTACACTTGGTCAGCTGGTATATCCATCAGGGGACCCAGAGGTGGAAGAGTGCATGAGTGCGCACTCGCGTGCATGTGTGTGCGTGCACACGCAGTGCGCGCGCGCGCACACACACACACACACACACACACACACACACACACACCTTGTTCCGCTTTAAATAGGTATCTGTAGCTAAAACCTTTGCAGAAGCTGGAAGCAGCCAGTCACCTAGGAAAGAACTCTTAGGACTAAACGCAATAAAGAGAATCCGGGCATACGGAAACCCTTAGACTTATCCTGCAAACAGAGTGTACTTTCTCTGCAGTTTCCAGCTTAGTGCGTGCAATGTCTCAGCCAGCTCATAATTCTTGAGGCTCTGAAGGGCCATCTATGATCTTCTCCCTAGCAGCTGCCCGCCTGAGAGCCAGAGTCATGGAGGATCATTAAATAACATTAACAGCCCAAGGTCAAAGGCAGACACCGGAGAGACAGCTGCTCCCTATATTTACATAAAGTGGGGGAGACCAGCAACCCTTGACGGGGAAGGTAAGAAGACTTGGTATACACAGCCTTTGTCAGGCTCCTCGAGGAGAGTTCCAAGGGCTGCAGAAAGAACACAGCAGCTACAACACCTCTAGGCCCAGCCTTTTACTGTGTGTCTAACCAAGTCGAGCTACGCAAAACCAGTTGGAAAATTAAAAACTGAATAAATGCCTTCTTTACTCGGGAAGAACAAACGTGGCATTTCAGGGTGAACTCAAACAGTCTTTTCAAAGTAGCCAGTTGCTATTTGGTAGATAATATAGGGCACCGTGAGTCAATCATTTACTGGGCAGCGCATAGCATGCTCCGGCTTGGCACGGATGTTTCATTAGCACAGCCTTTGAGAAAGGTGACTGAGGCTCTAAGACTGAGAGACTCAAGATTCAGCTCCAAGAGGCTCTCAGGATTGGTGTGACAGGGTCTGACGGGGTCCGCCACCAATCACGTGTGCCTGACAGGATGTGATGTGATGGTTTACATCAAATTGCTGAGCACAGTAGGCCAAGAACATGTACATGTGGTCGTGTGTGTCTCTGTATGCACACAGTTAAAAGAAAACATCCCTAGACTTTTCTTGACTTTCCCATTGTTAGAAAACAGCAAACATTGAGGAATATTTGACTGCAGGACATGGTGGGTGTTGAAGGACTTCCACTCTGAGAGTTGGGAGAGCGAAAGCATGCACCTCGCCCTCACCAAGAAAAAGACACCGCTGGGAACGGATTCTTCATTTCCTACTGGAGACCCAAAACATCCCTGTCTACTTCAAGAAGACAGCCTCCTCGGACAGTTTAGGAGCTTGTGAAATCCCAGAATAAGACTTTCCTAACTCCTGGTCATTCTGGGCACAAGTTTGTCCTTGCAGCGAGAACATTTAAGAGACATTTGCGTCTGAACACACACACAAGGGGGCCTTATGCCTGCCAGGCCGCCGTACTTACCAAACCAGTCCAAAAGAGAAAGAACAGGACCAGCCACGCCGTATCTGTGCATTTCCTATAAATCTGGGGTCGCCACTCGCGCTGCCCGGGTGTTTTCTCTGCGGAAACCTGCCAGAAGCATGGGGAGTTGAGAAAAGGAAGAGAAACAGGTGGAATCAACCGAATCGAAACCTTTCCAAAGGCTGCTTAAAGTAACTCAACTTTGTCACCTGACTCTTTCTCCTGGGGAGACCTGCAGGGTGGGTGTATAGTCCTCTGGGTGCCAAATACAACTGGAGGTAAGGGCACCCTTCTCCCTCTAGTCCCTTGTGTCTTTCTGACCTCGGTCGATATTTATGTACAGGGTCCTCCGGGTCAGGTGTCCTTAAAGGAGCGGTGTCGCAGAGAAGGGACTTGATCCTCAAGGGACATGGGAGACGGAAGCGTCCTGCCTGTACAGGTGCCCGCAGAGGCCGTTTCCCTAGGGCCCAGATTGTCGCCCTTACCAAGTACTCGGCGCCCAGGCACTGCATGATACACTCGGTAGCTAGGTCGGGGATTGGCAGCCGTGGTGGCCGCGGTGCACACCGGACAGAGGTGCAGCGGCCGGCCCAGGTGGCCCAGGCAGGGCGGGCAGGGCGCAGCGCCGCCTAGCGACAGAGGGCGCTGATTACCTCCCCCGACTCCCCACTCCGCCCCAGGCCCGCCCTCTCCGCTGTCGCTTTCCTGGGAGCTTGGGTGGCACCCGCGCAGTCCGGGCTCCCAGGAAGTGCACCTGACTACTGTGCGCCAGCTGCGGGCTGTCAGCGCCTGGAGTAGGAAGTGAGGCCTCTGGGATCAATCCCCGAGGGCGGGGAGCATGCAGGGGTGTGTCACACACAGGTAACCGGCGCTTGCTGTGTGCAGAACCCTCACCAGCCTCAAGTTGCGAGTTGTTGTCCTTGAGCTACCGATCGAAGGAGGCTGGGGCAGGACCAGCAGTTGTGCTCAGGGAGACACGCTGTCAAGGGTGTCTACCGTTCCAGCTGCTATTTCTCCAAGGCTGCAGTCTCTGCCCAGAGTCTTTCAGAAGCTTGAGTCTCAGGAACTCAACAAGGACAAAGTCCCCAGAGACCAAGAACTGACTTAATCTGTGTGTGGGTGTGGGGTGTGGGGTGGGGGTTCACTTCTCTCTTACTCTGCCTCATCACCTGACTTTACGGTAGGCATTCTTTGACATACCCCGGGTGTGTACGTCCCAGGTGACAAGAGTTTTCTCTTCTACACTTGGGTGGGTACAGAAGCGCTGCCGAGGCGAGGAATTAAAAACAACGGCAGAGGACTTCCTTCTCAGTCCCTCTGCCTTCTCATCTCCAGCTCAGCTACTTGCCCCTCCACGCCCTTAGGCTGCTGGCTCCCTGGTCTCCCCCAAAGTGGAGGCTGCTTTGCGGCACTAGTCAGTAAAGCAATAGAAAGGGAGCAGCCCAGCTGGTACAGCTCGCGTGCTTCTGTGAGGCCACCCACGGCCGCAGGATCGACCCACCAGGGGCCATCCACACTCTTCAAGAAGATTGGCTCTCCCTCCTGAGCAGAAGCTATCAACTGTCAGCAGCTCCTCAGCTAGAAGGCTAGCCAGTGAGTCTTCCCTCCATACGGCAGCGTTGGCTGGTTTATTCTTGCGAAGGTTTGGAGCAGGCAACCACGACTCCGAGTTCCTAACTGCCGAGGATCCACCGTGTTTCAGGAGATACTATTTTGCCCTGGTCCTCCCTGGCCTCTGGCTCTTATGGGCTTCCCTAACTTCTCTTCTGGAATGTTCTCTGAGCTTTGTAGATGTAGTTAGGAGGAGGAGTTGGGGGTGAATATCATCAAAATGTTTTTGCAAGGCCGGACGGTAGTGCCTGCACATTTTTAATCCACACACTCGGGAGGCAGAGGCCGGCCTGGTCTACAAGAGCTACAAGTTCCAGGATAGGCTCCAAAGCTACAGAGAGACCCTGTCTCAAAAAACCAAAAATAAACAAATAAAATATTTGCAAGTATGTATAAAAATCTAAAACAGTAATACAAATATATTAAAAACAAGCTGGGAGTGGGTAAAAGGGAATGACAGTTAAGGATCTCTGGTGTATAGGGTGGAAATCCTTCTAGGCTGCTCCTAACTCTCAGGACTTTCCCGAAGGCAGCTACTCAGAGCAAGTAGCTGGAACCCACAGGACCCTGAGTTCACCTGTCCCAGCACTTCCCAGCAGACAGCATACAGCCGCAGAAAGACCACAGTTGAATCACAGCGTCGGAAACAAGTTCTCACTGGAACAGATGGACGGAGAGGTTGAAATACACACTACATGCATATTTCTATCTGCAGAGCTGGGTATGATAGTCACAACGAGGCAGGAAAAACAACGATGAAACCAGAACCAAAAGTTCTATGAGGCATGGAGAATTTAACGATTAGAACGAACGCTTCCTGGTACCATTTAGTCGTCGTACGGAATAAGCGGGAGAGGGGGCGTAGCTGAAGGTGGATGAGTGATTGGAGGAATGGCAGTATGTGTATTATAGCCACTCTCCGGTCTCATACATTTGAATGGCCTGCGGATGTATGAAGGAGCAGGTGAAATTCTCTCCTTTCATTCGCCAAGTAAGTGCGCCTGTCTCTCAGATGTCTCTTACTCAAGTTTTGGATGGTACACACCGATCTCGAGAAACCATTTTGTCTTCCTAAGTGCACACTGAGAGTTCTAGCAGAAAGCTTGAGAAAGTCTTGAGAGCAATTGTTTGTAGTTTGTAGTTTTGTTTGTAGTTTTTGTAGTTTTTTGTTTGTAGCAATTGTTTGTAGTTCCCGGTCCTGAGGGGCGTTAGACCTGGAGATGATTACTGGAGAAGATACCCTGTGGCAGACATGTTTTGGCATATCTATACAGTTATTAGCACTGGAAAGTGCTACTTAAGGGCGGGTTCAGCATCCTTTCTTATGCAATATGCCAAGTGTTAGAGAGGTAGAAATTATTTCCAAGGCACTTGGAGACCCCTCCTTTCCTGTGTCTTTCCCATAAGTCAATCCTACCTATAATTTCCTAAATAGACCAAAAAAAAAAAATCTTTGATTCTCTATTGAAGGAAGACTACAAAAGACTCTGAAGAGGACTCAGGACTAATAACGCCATCATTAGCTATGGACGTTCACTACCGGATCCCATTTGAATCGACGGTCTTGGTGGAGAGGAAGAACCGAGGGGGTGCAGAAGCAGCACACGGAGGGCAGGACTGCGACCGATCAGTCACTTGCCAGCTTTGTGCTGACCTCAGGCCTGTACTTTTGTTGTCCAGTTGGATAAACGTCATGGCTGGCGGAGTCCATTTGTTTACTCTGAAATATGAGATTACACTGACATTTCATGATGGTTGGAAAACAAAGATACCATCTGCTTTGGCTTCTTACCAAATATCTCATAGAGGTCTCAGTAATTTTAGTTAATATGTGAGGACATTTGTAGGAAAACAGCTTCCATTTTATTTCCTGAAGTTTTACTGTAGCTGGTTATGTTTCAGTGAGAGTTTTTCATGGCTGAGATAAAGACACAAACATCAACTTAACAGAGGAAAGATTTGCTTTCTCTTACAGTTTCAGTCCATCACAGTTGGAGGGTTTATGAGAAGAAGAGCCCGCTATGATGACCAGAAAGCAAAGAGAAAGAATCAGAGCACTTCTCCTCTCCCCTCTTTGTTCCATCTGAGCCTCCGCCTGTGGTTGGAGAAGTCCACGTTCAAAGTGGGCTCTCTCATCTTAGTTAGTCCTTTTTGGAAGCACCTTCCCACACATACCCAGAGGCAAGCTTTTCCTGCTTGCAGACATCTTTCCCCTCCACCACGGTGGCAGGGTTAACTCACAGGTCACCTGTGTCTCATCCTCCTCAGCATCCAACAGCGAGCCGTTCATTTGGAGGGAATGCACAGAGGTGCAGAGCCAGGAGAGCCCCTAATCACCCCACAACTTGGCTCTGCTTTAAAAAATTCCTGTATGGAGTCCTTCTCAGGAGACATTCGCTGAATTATCTTGAAGTTTGCAATCCAGCAACATTTTTCTGTTCTTTGTGAAGTGAAGCCAACAAGAAAAAAAGGGGGGCAGAGGCCCATGATGGCGTTCACAGAGAAAGACTCATTGTTGTAGATATGAAAACCTAGGTCAGCTGGGGAGCAGGAGGCTAGGTTCCTTTATCTCTGGGCTTCTTTGTAAAATGAGAATGGACAGCCAAATTCTTCCTTTTTCCCAGTTCTGAAAACCTATGATTTAAAAACACATGGTATTTGCATGAAAGCTAAATGCCCAAAGCAAGTAAATTACAGGTGAAGGAGAAAAAAAGTGGGAGAGAGAGAGAGAGAGAGAGAGAGAGAGAGAGAGAGAGAGAGAGAGGACCAATTGAAATTAAGGCTTGTTCTTTGAAGAAAAAATCTAGAAAAGAAAAAAAAGAGACAGGACTCTGGCGAGGTCAATGGAAAAGGGATGAAGTGTTTATGCAGATTCTAACCACAGTGACAGCAGCACGATTTCTCTGCTCTGTTTTTTCCTCTACAGTGCTATTTTCCTTTAGCTTTACAATGTTTACTTCCCCCTTTTGTCCATATCTATGTTTTACACGAGCTATATTACAGCATTTTTTCGTAGATTGGCATCCTCCGTCCTCCATGAGACTTGAAAAATCCTGTGAGGGCTAATGTAATTACTACTTCCTAACAACAGATGGCACTGTAAGCCAGTGGTTGTGTGTTAAAAAAAAAAAACTAGCCCATCTACATTTTTTTCGTGGATTCTGAGCTAGATGTCTTCTCTTATCTATATTTCTGTTACTTACATATTAAATACTAATATTTCAAAAAAGTTGCGGCAGCTTTTATACTCTATGGATGTTTCCTTCAATGCTGTGTGCCCTGTCAAAAGCTCTTAAATAGATGTAACGTCTACATTCTTTAAGTTGTCTAGCGTATTTAACATGTTACGAAACTCAGCACTATTTGGGATTAGTTAAATGATGCCTTACCTCATTGTCTAGGAGGATCTGAGTTTAGGCAAACTCAGCCTTGAGTCCAGACTCCAACGCGTGCCAGCCGTGTGAGTTGGCACACAACTTAAATTTAACGTATCCTGTATCAGCTACAGTTTCCTTGTCCCTGCAACGGCCAAGTTAGAGGAGTCTTGTTCTACGTCCACTCTGTAAGTGGGCCCCAAGCAAACTCAGCAACTTCCTGCTGGTGTTAAAATGCTTTCTGGAAGATTTAGTTAACTAAGATATCAAACAGACGCCTTTCATTTATAGTAAGTGGGTCAGTTTGTCTACGCTATTTTAGTGAATTAGTTTGTTGACTCACGGGCAGCTGTGTTCATATGGGTCTTTTGGGGGGGCATACAGACCCCAAAGAGCTTGCTCGTCATCTTTAATGCTGTGGCTTCAGGGCAGAGCCTCCTGGAATGACATTAACTTGGCATATTCCAGGGCTCCCCAGACATACCAGTGTGAAAACTCTGTTCTAAAATATACTGCTGTTGAGGTCGCATTAACTGGCTCAGTCCTACAGTGCTTGCAATGCGCTGACTTCACTTATTAGATAGTGGAAAAATTAACCTGTAGAGGGGAGTTCCTCTGTCCTTCCCGCTTCCCAGTCTGTCACACGTCTT